CTATAGATACTAATATATAAGAATATAATTATATATAATATAGACTATGTAGTTATAAGTATACTTATATATGTATATTATAGAATTCACTACCACATAATTGATCTATTGCAGCAGTTAAGGCGCAACGGTTCTAACTGTTGCGTTAGATATCTATCGTAACAGTTTATAATGGCTAATACAACATTAAATAAAAAATGTTGCCATAGGCCAAATAATTGTTCATGGGCTTAATATTTTTTCGTGGTTTTGGGAGTAAAGTTTGTAAAGCCCACCGCAACCAAATATTTCTCTCTCAAATGCAATCCCTAAATTCGCCTCCAAATATTTCCGATCCCTAAAATCGCCATGACCAAAACCTCGTCGCCGTTTTCGGATCGGATCGCATCTCTAAGCTCCTCTCCGATCTGCAATCTCGTTGATTTCGTCGCCGAGCTACTCCCTGGTTTCTAGGGTTTGTCGTTCTCTCAAATCTCCTCTCAGATCTCATCTTCGAGCTACTAATGTCGGCGTCATGCTACTCTCGTTGCCATTCCAGTCTTGTTCGTCGTCGTCAAGCTACTAATCTCGTCGTCAAGGTACCTCAGTTCCTTGCATTTCTGATCTCTACAATTTCTTCCCCCTTTCTATCTTTAAAAATCTCTTCTTCATTTTTTTAGGTGCTGCGGATAACATCGATTGCTGCATTAATCACGATCCATTGCTCTAGCTCGATCCCTGAGGTAAGATTTCTTAACCTAAAAGCTATTTCTTCTCAAAAAATTTGGATTTATTTGTTTTCTATTGGGTAATGACAGAATGTTGGTTGTGATTAGCTACTAGGTTAGGCAAGTGGGTTAATTAAATTGAGGGGATTTGCTTATATCTTGATTTAAGTAACTGTTGGATCACTGTTTTATTAATCTTTAAATTTAAATTTTTTGATTTTCTGCGGGAAATTTGGGGAAATTGTGGACATGCTTCAATTTATTTTTCATATTATAGATGATTTAAATTTGTAATTTTTCATTTTACTGGTTTAAAAAATGATGTAGGAAGATGGAAAAAGCACCCCAAGACTGTTCCCAAGGGTCAATTTAGAGCTTTACTAAAGATTTGGCATTCTCAAAATGCAAGGGTAAGAATTTAATTTTCTATTAATACCATTGTTTTTGTTTCTTTTGAACATACTGTTGTTCTTGCTGTTTCTGGATATTGGATTCCTATACGGATGTAACGGTTGATATCTCTTTGATACATATCTAATGCCATGAACAACATGCACCGTATATTTTCACATACATCGATCATTGAGAGAAAAAAAGAGAAAGTTAAATTTCAGCCTAAAGATTAGTACTCTTTGATGCATCAGCTATCCCGTGCAAAATCAGTGGTGAATATTTTTGATTCGAGGATATCCTTTCTGATTTTAGCTTTACAAATATTTAAGGACCGAAGACAGGATGATGATGATGATGATCCATGTTACCAACTTAATGGTTGTGCCAAAACCAGCAAAGAAGCATCATACTCTAGCTGTAAAGGCCACCACAACAGATCCGAACCACAACCTATAAATTACCAGAAAAATTACCAGATCGATATACAGAACCTACCAATCTGCATATACAGAACCATTATGGGATCACATGCGTCTTACATGGCTTAATTGTGCTTACGTGGCAAATATAAAGTGGGATCTTATCAAATTGTTTATTTAAATTTTTTTTATGTATTTTATTTTTTTTAGTTCAACAGCAATTAATAATGTAGTTTTATACTTTACAGTCTCATAATCTGAAGCCGATACAAAAAAGTTGCATAATGAATGGAGGAAAACAGCAATTCTTTTATTCCACTTGCCTGTTTTTAACTGATACATAGTATTTCCTAATTTTATTATATATATTATGATGGTTGTATTATGAACCCCTCTTGAGGGAAACCCTAGCTCCATCAGAACTATCCTTATAATGTTAATACATGTAGTTTGACGTACGTATAGACAGTATGATGTACGTATAGATCGACATGCGACTGCGCGCACACAGATAACCTCCCTCATTCTCATGTATCCAAGGATGCCAAGTGATATGAAAACAATTGAAGGGTGACAAGTACAACTGAAAATATTGGTGAGGGGGTTTTATATGCAATTTACCCTGTATATGTACACATATCCACATATATATGTACATATGCGCACATACACTTAATTTTTTTTATGTAAAAGGTTGAAAATACTCAACATAAATTCTAACTGCAATGATCGACAGGAGATGATTTAATCCACATGACTTTCCATTACACCTTTGTGACTAATATTTTCTTGATAATATCCATTGGAGTTTCCAGCATTCCCATGCTTGGCTACCTCATTTCCGTTGCTCAAGGATGAGGGACCTGTATATACATGGTAATTAGATGTTTACAACTTGACATTTGACCATTCAATTCTTTATTGTATTAGTCCACATCAATATTGTGATCAGCTTCTATACTACATCAATGAATGTGCCGATATTATCCAGTGCTTGAATAAGAATTTGTGCTACTCCAGAAGGTAGTTCAATTGAACATCCTTTCTTCAGGTTCCGGAAGCTGCAGTAGCTAATCATTTTAGTACTGTGCTGCTCAATAACTATAACAGCCAATCTATTCTACAGAACCACTTGCACCGCACCATTTTCCAATTTCTTGCACTAAAGGGGGCCTCCATCTGAGTTTCACTCCCTAGTTGAGCATGCCAGCACAACTAGTTTTTCTTTTTTATTCTTTATGTTGACTTGTTTCTGGATTGAATTACATTATGAGCTTTAAAATGAGAACACCATCTTGTTCGGATTGCATCACTTAAACTTGTAAAGTGATAATTAATTATGTGGACCCTATTCAAAAGGATCATCTTATCATAGATAAGATTACCTCCATAAATAAAAAAAATTCTCAATGAAGTGCATTGATATTTCAATCAAAAAAATCTAAAAATAAAATAGAATATGCAACTGCTCATAACCTGACATCTCATATTCCCAACCATTGCAACTCATATCAATAGTAAATATTGTCAAGTACCTTTCTTGCTCAAATTTGAGCTGGAAGTGTATTTCCACTTGTATATCATCACATATATAGATTATTTTTTGAGGAGATGGGTTATGGGAAATTTGGGGTTTGCATGTGGGATTCTATGGGCAATTTTGTAAAAATGGTCATATAAGTATTTAACTTCTTTCTGTTGAAAGTCCTAGTTTTTTTTTTTGCAATCCTTTGATAACATGTACTTGGTGTACAAAGCATGATAAATATTGCTATCTGAATATGCTTCATTGCTCATCACATATCAGATGACATCTTCTGATTGCTTGCTTGACTTCAGTGTTGGTTGAAGAAACAAAAGGATGTCCTATTTCCTGCTTTACAAGAGACTGGGGAAAATGTTATCTGGACTTCTAGGCTTATTTTTGGAAAAGGAGAGGTATTTGTTCTTTTTCCCCCTATTTTCTTTGTGTTCAATTGCGCATTGCCATCATTCAGTTTTAGAATAGGAAAATGTTATCTGGACTTCTAGGCTTAATGAAACCCTTGTCAATTGATGGCTAGTACTCTCCTATTTTTTTTACTGCATCTCATGGTTTTTTTAGTTAAACTATAAAACCGTCTGTTATATCCTCCTCAGAATCCTAAAACAGCCATGGATGAATCATGTTGGGAAGTTAGTGGACGTTCTCGTTCCAAAGGCTAAAGCTCTTCTTACCTTCGCTCATATATTTTAGGGACGTGAGCTATCCCCATAAGATAGAGATGCATGTATGAAGTTACAATGGATGGGCAGTCAGTGAAATTATCGAGTAAGCATTATCATAACCAAAGAGGAGAGAGAGCTCAATTTTGTAGTCTTACAAATTTCTCTCATTAGCCATGACTTTAATTAGTGTCGTCCTTTTTAGAGAGCTCAATTTTGTAGTCTTACAAATTTCTCTCATTAGCCATGACTTTAATTAGTGTCGTCCTTTTTTCCCCCCTGATGATAACCTTGGTCCTTTTATTCTCTGTTTTTGTTACGATTATTCCATGCTTGATTACCAAAGGAGTCTCTGATTTAGCTGTTGACAAGTGTGGATGCTTATCCAACCTTAGAGTCATGCTAGGGCAATGGATCCTTTGCTAGAGGGTTTATTTTGCTTTCGTCCTCCTTGCAGGAAGTCCCTGATAAAAATTTCAGTAGTTCTAATTACTGTGTTTCTGCTGTTTTAGGGGGTTTCGGCGTAAATTCCCAACACTAAATCTGCAGAATTTCACAAGATCCATCAAAATCATCATGAGGAAACGTCTGAATTAAGCCACTTCTGATCACCGCCCTTATCCTTTGCATTTCCCACGCCAATACGTGGCATTGAAGAAATATTCCGTATCATTACCACGAAAATTTCAATGTAAAGATCATTCATACATATTGCTAAAACTGCACGTTATTATTCAATGGCTTAAACACATACACAGTCTTATGACAAGGCCTGATACTTGATTTTTCCTTCAACAATATCCACCCCTAATCTCTATATAAACCTCACTGCATTAAGCTCGAAATAACATAGAAGATATAAAGTGCCTGCAGGATAACTTAACAAAGATTTAGGAGCTGCACAAATTAAAGGGTGGGTTTTGAAATATGGAGTTGAAGAAGGTTTTCGCATTTGGTTTGCTTTTTGAGCTCATATCTCTGGCTACTGGCCTGGATCGAAGTGATTTCCCTTCTTCATTTCTCTTCGGCACTGCAACTTCATGCTATCAGGTAAGAATCATCACGAGAACACTTTTTTTTTTGTCATACAAACTGTGAAGTATACGGAATGGAGAGATACAACTTCACACTTTCTGATCAAACCTGCAGTACTTTTCTTTTCAGAAAATAAAGTTAATAATTTCTTGCGCGCGGGTTTTGTGCACCGCATTTTCTTTGATAAGAATGAGCTGGAGGTTTTCTACCCGCGATGCATCGTTAAAGTTGCCAAAGTTGCTCAAAATACCTACGGGTGTGACTTCATGTATGAGAAACTTTTGAGCACGGATTTGTTTACAACAGAATGATATTACTTATTTTATTAGCCACAAATTAATTAAACACTTCAAGTGCTTTTTTTAGCATACATTTGGCAGTCCATATAAATTCCAGGATGGCTTTGGGATATCAATTTACAGACACATCCTGCTACAACCTCGTATACAAACGTTTGTATTCGAAAAGTATTCGAAGATATTAATTTTCAGGAGTGCTCACCTAGTTATTTTGTTTTTTTCCCAGATTGAAGGTGGATATCTAGAAGGCAACAAAAGTCTGAACAATTGGGACGTCTTTACTCACATGCCAGGTAAAATTTTATTAACATTAATTTTTGCATAATCTATTATATTTCGAATATTCCTTTGCTGACCAAGACCTGGAAGCATTCAATAATACAAACAGTAATTTTATTCTATTGTAACCCCCCTCAAAAAATAAAATAAATAAATAAAAACCCGTCGCGTGCATTACTTCTTTCATAATCTTGTTCCCTTAAATTTTGGTGTTTTATCAGGAAATATCAAGGATGGGAGCACTGGAGATGTTGCTGATGATCACTTCCACCGATACATGGTCCACATTTTAATCATACCATATAGACATAAATTATTTAATCAAGTTCTTGTTACATGATATTATCTGAGTTTTTGCCCCTTTTTTTCCTCAAAGATTCTGTCATCTGCCGCCCCCAGATATTTTGCTAGGCTATAATTGCAGATCTCGTCAAATTTTAGAATTTAGCTGGCTGAAAACATCAGAAGAGGTTTTGATGTAGGTGAGTGATTTTCTCTCTTTTTTAATATAAAAGAGAAACTGTAGCCATCTGAGGATCAATTGTCTCCTTATTTACCAATGTTACTTGAGCTTTTTTTTTCCTTGTAATGGTTAGTTTAAAAAATTACCTTTTCAGTTTGTTGCTAACATGATATTTGATACGTTTCTTTATTTTTTGCAGGGGATATAAAGACTTAAATAGGAGAATGCGGTCAAGATGGCTTTGATATATGAATCTTTTGAACCGAAATTGATGAAAGCCAAGATTAAGATTGATACTGACAGGTTCCTAGTGAGTATTTGACGTTGAGGAATAAGTTTTTGGAAACAAATAGAGAATATAGTCTTTGACCGAGAAGTTTCATGTTTTGTAATCAAATGTTGATGTACATTGTTTGAATGTTAGTTCGGTACAATATTTTCTGAGTTGAAATGTTGGTAGTGTGGATTTAATACTTTGTAGTTTTTATACTATACTGATGTATGTTGGCACTTATCATTATGGTTGATTATGCTCAACATAATCACTTTTATATTGTGTATTAAAATTTGACTTGGTCATGTTCTTAAAAAGATTATCCAGGTAATTGAATACTATATTATTTTGACGTAGGACACCAAGAACAGGTCCGATTGAGCTGTTGCAATAGCTCGATTAAAACCGTTGCGATAGCTCGATCAAAACAGCTGGGATAGCTCGAACCAAACTGTTGCGATAGCTCAATCCAAACTGTTGCGTTAGGTCTTTTAAAACTGTTGCAATAGCTCTAACTGTCGCCGTAGCTTTATCAAAACCATACTTATAGCCTACTAAAACCGTTGCGTTAGGTTTTTTAAAACTGTTGCAATAGCTCCAACTGTTACCGTAGCTCTATCAAAACCATAGCTTTAGCCTACTAAAACCGTTGCGTTAGGTCTTTTAAAACTGTTGTAATATCTAAAAAAACCGCTGCAGTAGCTTGAAAACCGTCGCAATAGCTCAATCAAAACCGCTGCAATAGCTTAAAAACCGTCGCAATAGCTCAATCAAAACCGTTGCAATGGCTTAAAAACTGCTTACCTTTTAAAACCGTTGCGTTAGATGCAGGGGCAACGGTTTAAAAAACCGTCGCAATAGAGTTCAAAACCGTTACGGTAGAGGTAAGGCAACGGCAGCATATGAGGCGGTTTGAGAACCGTCGCACTTGCTCAAGGGCGACGGTTCCATGGCTAGTGCAACGGTTTTGAACCGTTGCGTTAGAGCAAATATGTGGTAGTGATTACAGTTATATAAGTATATATAAGTCCATAAGTATACGTATATATAAGTATATTGCATCTAGTATATATAAAATATATCATATAAGTAAACTGTATAACTGTACCTAAAAAAGCATAATGTAAGTATGTAAGAAAGAAATATATATAATATATATTTATGTGATTCTCTCATTCTATCTCTCTCTCAAGTTATAACTTATAGCTATATATATATATAGACACACACTCTATCTTAGCAGGGTATAGATAAATAAGCATAAAGTAATTTTAATTCATTTAGGATGTATTCATCTATTGTGATGTGACAAATTTCAAAATAAATTTATAATTGTAGATGATTAATTGATTATTAATAAAGAAGTTATTTTTATCATTTTAATTTCTATAATTTTTTATATTTGTAAATTATATAATTATAAGTGATTAATAATATAATTGTTTTTATCAAAATTTTGTTTGTTTTTTTATTTTAAATTCTTGAAAATAAAAAAATTAAAAAAAAGAAAAAATCGGGTCGGCCTTGTGCCCGCCCCGATTAGGCCTAGGCCTAGCCCGGGCCAACCGGGTCCGGGTCTGAGCCCCAGTTTTGCCCGGCCCAAGCCCGGTTTTTCGGGCCGAACCGGCCCGTTTGGACAGACCTACATGTCCTAAAAGTTTTAATTTACTTGCATACCCCTTTCATCCCCAATATACATTTAGCGATGTATAAATGTTAGACGTATCACATCAAGTCGATGTTGATGGGTAAAATAAGTTTTGATATTTGAGCATAATCCTAGCAATTGGAGTCTATAAATAGGTAACCATGGTAAATGATTTTTTTTAGTAGCTAACTAGTTTTTGGTATAATCCTATTCATTAGATTCCATAAATAGGTATCAAATGCAATCATTTAACCAGCACATGCATTTAGTGAGGCTGTTCAGATATTCTTATCATATACAAACTAGTAGTCTCCTGCACACTATGCGTAGATGACAGACAATATGAGGGGTGTGGCATAATTGAATCATTCAAAAAAATGAATAGATATGATTTTGAGTGTATTTTTGTTGATTTTCTAAAATTTTCCAAGTTGAAGAGAGTTTTGTTTGGTTCAAAAGTCGTTGTTTTCATTATCATCGAATCTATTACAACTTTGATCATTACAATAAACTCAAATAAACGAGAAAAGTCGATCTTTTTATAAGATCTCCTTATACAATGAAAATACGAAAAGCACAACTCTTGTCAAACATCACAACAGACGTTTATCACCCGCTGCTTGCGTGGGAACTTCGCCTGTGCCGGAGACGTTAATATCCATGGACCGTCACGGATCAGATACGGTCGACAGATTAAGTTGATCAAAGCTTTTACTTCATGAAGGAAGTAATCGCTGCAGCGATGATCCCGACCAAGCGAGATCACGGCTCTTCTCGAGATTTAAGACTAAGCTTAAATCCGGAGGAATAGGGGATGAGTCTCAGATCTCTCGAACTCCACTCTTTATGCACAGGAATTTGCCAAGATCTGCTAACCCTCGCTGCAAATTCGTGGCTCCACTCTCAATTTTGACAGCACCACGCCCTCTTCCTCTCCAGCCCCGTGAAATGAGCCCCTAGTCTTGTATTTATAGGCTTCGGTTCGGGGGTTTTTGGATAAGAACAATGGATTCAGCATTATCTTCAGTTAATAACTGTGTAACCACGTTTGGGGATGATATCCAATCAGTTAGGACACTCAGAAATGAATAAATCCCGAGAAAACTCGTCAAAACTGAAAAGAACACGTTTTCAGATCAAAACTGGCCGAACCGTCGTTTGGTGGCTCGGCCCATGGCCGAGCCACTGGCCGGGGCGGAGCCACTGGCCCGACCGAGTCGTTTTGACACGACTCGGCTTCCAAAGGCTTTTTGAGTTTTTTGGGTTCTGACTTGTTCCGTCGTTACGCGTATTTCATCGTTTCGTTGACTTGTACGATGTTTTGGTAGCAGATGAGCATGCGGGCTATTTGGTGGTGGTCGGTGAGCACGCGAACCACTTGGAGCTGCCTGACGAGTGCAAGGGCCATTTGGAGGTGGCCGGTGAGCGCACATGTCATTTTGTTTGTCGATTTGGTGGTCGATTAGCGTGCGGGCCATTTGGTGGTGACCGGTGAGCATGCGGGCCACTTGGAGATAGCTGACGAGTGCACGGGCCACTCGGAGGTGGCCGGTGAGTGCACGGGCCAGTCGGTTCACCGATTTGGTGGCTGATGAGTGTGCGGGCCACTTGATGGTGGCCGGTGAGCACGCGGGCCACTTGGAGCTGGCTGACGAGTGCACGGGCCACTTGGAGGTGGCCGGTGAGCGCACATGTCACTTGGTTTGCCGATTTGGTGGCCGATGAGCGTGCGGGCCAGTGAGCACGCAGGCAACTTAGAGCTGGCTGACGACTGCACAGGCCACTTGGAGATGGTCGGTGAGCGTACAAGTTGTTAGACCCTGGAGAGGGGGTGATTAGGATCTTATGCTAAACTAATCCCGATTAAATTCTAATTATAATAACATTGATTAATTTGTTCTTGCTAGAAAAAAATGATATGGATAGGAACAAGAATGATATGAATAAGCACGAATAAAAATACGCTAAGCAAAACACAAACACACGATATGTTTATGAGGTTCAGTCACCACGACCTACGTCCCCGCTCCTCACCTCGAGGAGATCTCCACTATCACAATCCGGTTTGGAAGCCGGAACTTCTACACACTCGGTTTATAAGTTTACCGAAAACTCTCACACAACAAACACTATGCAATCACACTTTACACACTAAGTGTAAGAACCTAGCCCGTGTCTTCCTCCTCAAGTGCTCGGATACAACCTCACCCTAGGTTCGTCAACCGACGCTACTCCTATTGAATTCGACCCCGTCTCACGCCTCATACTTCTCTCGGTGTAAAAGTGTATTACAAGTGATACTCACAATAAAGGTTAAATACAATGATTCGTTCTCAATAACAAATGAGAATGCAATGAAGCTCACTCTTACTAAATCACACACCGCTACCAAATAATATATAGTATGGAAATATTATAAGCTCAATACAGTGTGTGTGATATCAGTGAATAGAAAATATTAAACTCAATTTAAATATAGCTAAGTTATGAAAATGAATCAATAAGCTATATAGAAAGGAGTTTAGAAAACTTCTTAATAAACAAGAAGAACAGTAGATGATGATGAGGATATGATCCTCAGTTGGAATTGAAAGCCTCTTCTTGATGTAGAAACTTCTTTTGAAACAGACTAACAAAATCAGCTTAAACAGCTCTTAAACAGCTCTTAATCTTTTGTTAAAAAACTTATTGTAAAACAAACTCTTAGTTATTGAAAGAGAAGAGCAATGGGGTATTTATACCCACTCAAGATATCAGCCAAAACAACCATAAAAAGACCAAAATACCCCCAGAGAATCAAATCAGAATATAGCCGTTGTAATACAATGATGAGTTCAGCGGTCGACAGTAAGAAACTGGCGGTCGACCGCGAAGCACAAAATACAGTAAAAACAGCTTTGAAACACTGGCGGTCGACCGTGAAAATCTCTGGATTGAGCCACGGTCAACCGTCACGGTCGACCGCGATCCAATAAAAGGCATATTATGAAAATTAACTACTAGCGGTCAACCGTGACGGTCGACCGTGGCGGTCGACTGCAAACTGATACATGTCAAAATACAGGTTTTGGGCTGATTTCGAAAATATATTAAAAATATCAAATCAATTCCAAAAATAGTAAAACTTTGGGAAAAATTTCTAAATGATAAAATAAACATGTTTGAGAAGGAATTTTTGGAAATGCAATTTTCATTTGTGAAAACTCACTGTTTTTGAAAAGTGTTCATAAAACCTGTTTTTCGCGAACATGAAAATTGAAATATGACTTGTAAACTCGTGTATATATACTATGCATACATTATATATATATTATGAAATATGAAAGAGATGTAAACATGAAATAAAAGCTATTGTACTAAAGTTCGATGAAAAGATCATTTGTATGATATAAACAGTCAAATTTGTGTTGTGTTTACATATTGAGCTTAAATATAATCATATGATATATGTAAGCAAACTAATCTTATACCTAGGTGAATGCACAAACATGAACTTAAATCTTTAACTCCTGATTGTCGTGTGTTGAAATCCTGTAAAGAGAGAAACAAACTACAAAAACTAGAAGATATATTAGCTATAAATTGTTTGACAAATCATCATCAAAATCGTAGGGCTAATAATCTCCCTTTTTTTTATGATGGCA